GGGGTGTGTGAGGGGGCAGCCCCCCCAGTAACACCGCGGCTCCCCATACACGCGGATATGGGGGTATTTGATGGGGCACCCCCCAGTAACACCGCGGCTCCCCATACACGCGGATATGGGGGTATTTGATGGGGCACCCCCCAGTAACACCGCGGCTCCCCATACACGCGGATATGGGGGTATTTGATGGGGCACCCCCCAGTAACACCGCGGCTCCCCATACACGCGGATATGGGGGTATTTGATGGGGCACCCCCCAGTAACACCGCGGCTCCCCATACACGCGGATATGGGGGTATTTGATGGGGCACCCCCCAGTAACACCGCGGCTCCCCATACACGCGGATATGGGGGTATTTGATGGGGCACCCCCCAGTAACACCGCGGCTCCCCATACACGCGGATATGGGGGTATTTGATGGGGCACCCCCCAGTAACACCGCGGCTCCCCATACACGCGGATATGGGGGTATTTGATGGGGCACCCCCCAGTAACACCGCGGCTCCCCATACACGCGGATATGGGGGTATTTGATGGGGCACCCCCCAGTAACACCGCGGCTCCCCATACACGCGGATATGGGGGTATTTGATGGGGCACCCCCCAGTAACACCGCGGCTCCCCATACACGCGGATATGGGGGTATTTGATGGGGCACCCCCCAGTAACACCGCGGCTCCCCATACACGCGGATATGGGGGTATTTGATGGGGCACCCCCCAGTAACACCGCGGCTCCCCATACACGCGGATATGGGGGTATTTGATGGGGCACCCCCCAGTAACACCGCGGCTCCCCATACACGCGGATATGGGGGTATTTGATGGGGCACCCCCCAGTAACACCGCGGCTCCCCATACACGCGGATATGGGGGTATTTGATGGGGCACCCCCCAGTAACACCGCGGCTCCCCATACACGCGGATATGGGGGTATTTGATGGGGCACCCCCCAGTAACACCGCGGCTCCCCATACACGCGGATATGGGGGTATTTGATGGGGCACCCCCCAGTAACACCGCGGCTCCCCATACACGCGGATATGGGGGTATTTGATGGGGCACCCCCCAGTAACACCGCGGCTCCCCATACACGCGGATATGGGGGTATTTGATGGGGCACCCCCCAGTAACACCGCGGCTCCCCATACACGCGGATATGGGGGTATTTGATGGGGCACCCCCCAGTAACACCGCGGCTCCCAGCCGCGCAGGGAGCTGGCGCATTGGCCGGGGGTGGGGGAGGCTTTTCTCCAGGCGCTGCCGCGCTTCGTGGTCCCGCTAGAAACTTTGGACGAGCTAGTTTCCCGTCCGCGTACAGCATCCGCCTGTCTGCCTGCCCGAGCGTCTGTCTGTCCGCCTCGCCTCCATGTGCCACTGCCCACCCGATCCCACCGCTCGCCCCAGCCCCTCTCCCGCGCTCCTGGCAGCTGCGCCCTCGGGTCCTGAGCCTGGCTTTGTGCGTGCGGCGGGGGAGTGAGTCTTCCCTGGCCAAAGCAGGTGGCGTGACGAGATGCTCTCTTGGGCGACTCGGGGGTTTAAAGGGCTTTCAAGTAACCGCGCTAATGAGCTGAGGAGCTCTGTCTCCGCGGCGCTGAGCGGTGTCCCCGGGGCGCAACTAGTGGTGGGTGAGAAAACACACGTTTGCGATTGGCCTTTGTGCGTGCGGCGGGGGAGTGAGTCTTCCCTGGCCAAAGCAGGTGGCGTGACGAGATGCTCTCTTGGGCGACTCGGGGGTTTAAAGGGCTTTCAAGTAACCGCGCTAATGAGCTGAGGAGCTCTGTCTCCGCGGCGCTGAGCGGTGTCCCCGGGGCGCAACTAGTGGTGGGTGAGAAAACACACGTTTGCGATTGGCACACGCGACAGCTGAGCTCGAAAGCAACTCGCCACAGCCAAGCGAGCCTACCACCTTTCAGCCCTTGGGCTTGCGTTAATGGCACTCGCTTCCCAGTGAAGTCCAAGGTAGCGCTCCCTCGGACCCCAAGGGGCCGCTAAGCAGGTTGTTCCCGGGATCAGGGGAGCTGGAACAATTTGTCTTGTGGGGGCGCTGGGAGCCAGTGAACCAAACTGTAAACCCTGGATATGAGGGAAACCACCTCAAGTCAGTGGGTGCAGCAGCATCCCGCCCTTGTCTCTAATTCCAGCACCTCACCTGTGATGCCCTGGAGAGCAGCTGCTCATCCCTAAAACAAGCCTGTCAAAGGACATGGCTGGATAAGGCTCAGCAGCTGCTGCTTGCCCCACAGATCTCCTCTATTCTGGCACAGCACCCAGTGCTGTAGTATTGAATACGCAAGACATTAGCCACATGTGGCTATTGGGCTGGTTGAGTGTGGCTAGTTCACTACAGCAGTAGCCACAGAACCAGCTGGACACCAGGGGCCTAGAGCCAGCAGAGACGACCTTTGTAGTCTGTGCTCCAGTCCATGAGTGGGGCTTTTGGTCACAAGGGTAATTAATAATAATCAGTCTTAAACTGGCTTTCATCAGAGCAGTTGAGGTGAGTGGAGGTAGCAAGTGAGGAGATTCCCATCCTCTCATGGGAATGTTTGTCAGGAGGTGTCTGAGATCCATCAGACCAGACCCTCTGTCGGACAGGGAGCCAGAGAAAGGTATAACTATAAAGGATTCCAATACATTAGGTTGATGGAACAGTCCTTCTTACTAGAAAGACCAGGTGGGTGAGAGAATAGTTTTTATTGGCCCAACTCCTGGTTTTGGGCTCCCCAGAGCTCTTCTGCAAGGCAAGAGGAGCTGGCTTCAGTCACTGATCACCATGGTCCTGCTCTTTTGTGTTGCTCTGGAGGGGGGTGTAGTTTAATTTGGAAGTGGGCAAATGTCCAGCTAGATACTGGGTTCCCACAAGCAACCTGCTTCTCTTAGCCCCACTAGCATGGGCATTCTGCTCCATTGTGCAGTGTTGGTTTGTAGGCCTCTCTGTGTATTTACACTGTTGGCTTTAATGGACAGAATTGTTTCCTTTCCTCTGCTTCTCCTGACCAATGGCCACAGAGCTCTACATCACATTATCAGCCATGGCAGGGGAGGACAGGGACGGGAGCGAAACACCACTCCAGCCCACAAGCAAGGGGTGTGACCACAGAGCTGCTAATGCATCTTTGCAAAGTTCAAAAGGAATCCAAAGTTTGCAGAGTGCTCAGATAAATGTATCTCTGGGTATGTCTCCATTACAGAGAAGATCAAAGCTTCCGCTGTTGATCTTCCAGGGTTCAAATTAGAGGATCTAGTGAATACACGCTAATTCGAACTGAGGGGGGCACTCCGGGAGATGCTAGTAGTCCTGCTTCCATGAGGAGTAAGGGAAGTCTAAAGGAATCAATTTCCTGCAGTGTGGACAGCGACACAAGTCTAGTTAAGGAACTTCGACTTCAGCTACGCAATTAATGTAGCTGAAGTTGCATGTCTTAATTCGACTTTATGCTGTAGTGTAGACGTACCCTCAGAGAGTGAGATCCAAGGGGCGATAAGCCTCAATTAATACTTACTCAAATTATTATTTCCTAAAGCAGAGTCCTGACTTCCCCTCCATTCATTTCAGAAGTCAGTGTTGTTGCCCCCAGCATTTCTCTTTTGCAGTAGAGTCTTGCCTGCAGTTTGTGGACCACAGCCAGTGTCATGGACATGAAACCTAGAAAACTGAAGTTTAGCTTTTTGCCCTAACAACAGCAGTTTAACATGGTAGGAAGAGCCATGTTCTGCTGCTGAAATGGCAGCTTGGGTGTGAGGAAAGGAATTAAAACATTAACCCTCTCCTTCAGCTCTTCAAGCCTGCTTTCAGCTGCCTCTCTTTAATTCTCCTCACCCCTCCCTGGTGCCTTATTATATTTGTGTTCTCATCAGTATGTCCCCACCCATTTCATATAATGAGCATAGGGACTTTTTGTGTGAATGTCTCAGCTGTGCCACAATGGGAGTTGGTGTGACATTTGCCCCAAAGCCTTCACTGTCCAATCAGAATGTGGCTTTGGACATTCACACTCTAATTAATGTTTGGTTAATGTCATGATATTCTGATTGTTCTTATAGGACATTTAATGGGGAAAAAAAGCACCGGAGATTTCCCCTATGTTTATGAAGAAGAAAATAAGATCCCATTTTCAGCATTACCTGAAAATGCCAAGCAGTTGGGAGATTACCTGCAATGGGAAGAAACATTGAAGAATTTGCTACGGCTGTTGGAAGGGAATGAAAACAGAAGTGCTCAGATCCTAAGGGAAGAGCTTCCATGGTATACCAAGAACACTTGGGAGACAGATGATGACAGCAGCTTGAAAGATGTAAGTTTAAAACAAGAAGGTACTGTAAATATAATTTTAAGACAAATTAGTTCCTAACTCTGGGGTTATTGGTAGAGCTGGTGGAACAATTTGTAATGACCAGCTAAGTCAGTGAATGTATCCCTTATTCCTGACCACGTATTGTCATTGAATAGATTATACCTTTTATGAATGTACTTATTAAAACAGCTCAGCAAATATTTTGTAAACTTCAGCCTATGGTTTGGATGAAAAATACTTGATGTGAATATTTTTTCTAGTACTGTGATTTATCTGTACAGGCAGTCCCCGAGTTACGTGGATCCGACTTATGTCGGATCCGCAGTTACGAACGTGGCTTTTCTCGCCCCGGAGGATGGGAGCGGCGGGACACCCAGATGAGCCGCGGTCCCACCGCCCGCGTCCTCCGGGGTGAGAAAAGCTGCTCCCCGTCTCCCTGGTCTGCTGGTCAGACCAGGGAGACGGGGAGCTTGGAGCACGCCCACAGCGGGACAGCCCGGGCGTGCTTGAGCTGTCCCCCTGCAGGCGTGCTCCGCGCCTTT